CAAGTGACTCGCATGATGCGTATTGTCGTTGCTTATATTTCATCTAATTTTCAGTGAATGTGAGGGTTGACAGTTAGATGATCCAGTATAGATTTTCCCGAATCCCATACAATGCTTTCGCACGGACTTGCGTTTTTCCTTGACTATATGTATCATAATCTCTTAAAATTCGCCAAGGTTATCTTCCAGAGCATCAAGTTAGTCTTGAAAGTTAATAACATTTATTTCTTTGTAAATATATTTCCTGAAGGCCGAACAAGAGAGAAACACTGATTTATTTTTAAATGTACCTCACAATAATAAATGTCACCTTGAACAATACAAAATCTGGGTTGTTTAGTAACAGTTAATCAATCGTTACTGGTTTTAATTATACATGGGTTGACTCTTAGTCAAAACAGCGTGTTTCACACAAAAGTAGAGAGAAATTACCATTAAAAATAATTAGATTTAGGTAATAAATTGTTTCAACAAGCCAGGTAATTCAGAAAAGTACTCTGAAGCAGTAATTTGACGAAGTTGTAACTTGACATATTTCCACTAATGAAATTGTTACTTTGAAGTTAGAAAAAAACATTTTTATTTATGACTTCTACTCCTCCTATTACTACTCCCCTTACATCATAAATCTGACGGTTCAACATCTTTGAGTAACGGGGGCTTGTTTCCTTTAAGCAATTTCCCCAGGGTTAGATTTTCCTGAGTTCCATCCTTTCTTTAGCCCTTTCGTGAAAGTAATGAATGACAACAACAATGGAAGTGTTTCCGACCCACTTAAAACATCAATCTCTAGCTAGCACTATCCTCTTAACTTCCGCACAGGGTGAAACACATCTGTCTCTATTCTTTTAGACAGGACATATACTACATTATACCATTGATGTCTATATACCTCATTTTATTTATTTTGTTATAAGGCTCTATAAATTACTATTATAGTTTTACATATACAAATAAAATACATTTTAAAAAATCTGGTGCGCGCAACACACAACTTTCACTTACCGACCTACTATGAATAGAAATTATTTTCTGGCAATGCTAAAATATTATAAATTTTTTTAAGTGCATTTTAAACGGAGTTAAAGCTTAAAGCTTACAGATAAAAAGTCATTAAGACCACTATAATTACAAAATGTCTATTTAATATATCGACGACAGGCAATACAAATCTAGTCACTCCATCTGCTTTTATGAACCTCAGGAATGACTAACACCAATTCCAACATTTTTGAGTGATTTCATTTTAGTGATATTTTTAGTTGAAAAAGTTATCTATACAGAATATGAGTAAGTTGATTCCGAAGGTGGTGATTGCAGTGTTGAAATATAGAACTGAGAATATAGGCACTTATTTCATATGAAAAATGTTCTTAGGAAAGATACTTTATTAAATATCTGTAGAAAAAAGGTTTTTTCAGTCTCAACAATTAAAAATGTATATTTTAAATTTATCCAAATTTTTGCGTCTTCTAATTGTCCGATCTTAACGATTCTTTTAGGAAATTCCATAAACTTTTAAAAAAGCATATACAATATCCCCAAAAAAGTGTATACTTTTTGGTTATTCGGAGTTATTCGGAATTTAATTTTACCATCCCTTGCAACTTTCTTTCCAGCTTCTTTTCGTTGAAGTATTGTATATAGATAAATTTAAAGGGTGTCGAGAAAATGGCTTTAGAGAAGTTTCATTGAAACCGGTATATTCGTTTAGGCGCCACTACACATTGAATAATTTGAAATGATTAACTTTTTTAAATAAACTATATTAAAGGTACTTTAGAGGAAGACGTATATGAACATTGGGCATTTAAGACCTGTAAAGTGACATCAATGGGGATAAGACCTAATTTATATTAAAGACCACTTAATTATACAATGATACACCGAGTTTAATCAAAATCGTTAGAGCCGTTTTTGAGAAAATTCTGAAAATGTGGCACTTCCGGTTAGCCGATTTTAAGGAAAAAGTTGCCGTCACATCTAAGGCATATATCTATTTTAAATACGTAATAACAGTTTCTTACCACTTTTCGTTTTTGAGCTAGACTGCTAACATAGAAATACACAGACACACAGACCATTTTTCGGGACTTGGTCATTTCGACTCAAGGTACCTCAAAACGTGTATTTCCGTTGAAAACTCAGATTCAAAAATTTTCTCGATCGCAATACTTACCCTTACTATATATTACATATATACGTAAGTGAAAGTAATAATAATAAATAGAAATCCATGCATATGTCATATCAGATTATTTATAAATTTTTGTTGTCATAAGTCCATGAAGGTATACTCTAAACTCCTTTTCTGTTTAGAACCGGTCCACGCGTCAAATGATCCTTTTTTAGGGGAAGAGGGAGGAATTTTGTTTAGAATCGCAGCCTAAAGTTTGGTCATTAAGAACTGGAACATCGTGCGTGAGGCTCCTATTTTACTTGGCCACGTTTGGGCAAACATAGAACGACAACATGGCGCAAGTGCTTGGCTACACTAGGGCGCTAATGGGCACTAGACCTGCATCAGTTCAGACATCAGATCTAAATCATTATTTGATCTTTTGTGTCAACTGTTTATTTTCAAAACATTTTTAAATTTTATTGACAAAATATGTAAGTCGATTGTATCGACAGTACATATGTATATTCTAACATTAAAAACACACACGCACACACATATATGTATGTATAATATATAATATAACATAAAAGGTCGATTAAGGAAAAGTTGTAAATATATAGATATATATATATATAAACACACACACACACACACACACATATATATATATATATATATATATATATATAATATATATATATATATATATATATATATATATATATAAACACACACACACACACACACACACACACACATATATATATATATATATATATATAGGAGATATTTACACCAGTGTCTTGGCCTGCACACGCTCTCCAGTCCTGACACCACTAGATTTTTTTGTTTGGGGTGACGTTAAACAAAAAGTCTATGGAAGTACGGTCAATGACCTTAATTTCTTACGAAGAAGGATAATTGAATCTTGTGAAACAATAACACATATTCAGAGATGTACTGCCACTGCTGCTGTTGAAGAAAGATGCCGAGCCTGTCTTAATGCTCAAGGAAATCACTTTGAACAACATTTAATATGAACTTAATGTTTACGTTTAATTAATAAAGTAGTTGGAACAAATAAATAAGTTTTATTTACTTAATATGACGTAAATAATTCATAACAATGAAGATATTTAGGCGTGAATATCTCCTAACCAAAGCGTTTGCAAACATACTTTCAAACCAATTTTTTTCCTGTTTTGAGATCCTTAATTCATGTTTTTAGTTCGGCCACTTTCGAATCGTTTTCGATGAAAAGCTTAGAAAGGCAATATGCATATTGAGTGCAAGAACCACGTCAGTATGTTGAGTATTTCCGTAAATACGTGAAGTATTTTTTGATCGAAATAACATGAGTCAGTGACTGACGTAATTTCTGCACCCACCGCTGGATCGCATGATTAGCAGAGATGGATATATTTATATTCTTCTTCTTCTTTAGCTTTCCTCTTTAGTGCCTTTCAGCGTAGAGGAGCATTCAGCCAGGAATTCCATTCTTCCCTATTTCTAGCTAGGTTCCTCGCCTGTCGGAGGTCCTTCTCCCTCGCCCTACAGAGTCGCTCAATGTAGTCAAGATAGGACATTCTAGGGCGGCCCCTAGGTCTTCTGCCATCTGGGACATATTCCATGGTCTTTAGAGGATCTCTGTGGTCGTCCATCCTGATAACATGGCCGAACCACTTTAGCTGACGAGTTTCTAGGAGCTCTTTCAGTGGGGCTATCTGCAGTTCCTGACGAATACTTTCATTGCGAACTCGGTCTCTCCTTGTTTTCCCAACCGTCCTTCGCAGAAATTTCATTTCGGCAGCGGTGATTCTTCTCTCCTGTCGGTCTGTTAGTATTCAGCTCTCAGCTCCATACAAAAGTATGGGTAGATATACCGTCTTGAAGATGTGTAGCTTGACATCTTTGCCTACTTCTCTCTTCCCTACTACAGTGTTACATATCTGGTAGTAAACTGTATTTGCCTTATTAATCCTGTTTGATATTTCTGCGTCTACCTTCCCAGATCCGTCTAACACTGTACCCAGGTATGTGAAGTCTGTCACCACTTCTAATTCTTCTCCATTACAGTATATGTGGATATCTTCCTTCTTTCTTCCGACTTGTAGGATCTTACTTTTGTTGGTATTTATAAGCATCCCTTTTCGTTGGAGTTCTTCATAACATTCTATAACTGCCAATTGCAAATTTTTCACTGAGTCCGTAATCAATACCGCGTCGTCAGCGTAGAGTAGAAGCTGTATCACTACAGGATTAAGATTACTACGTGCCAGGAATGTTCTGTCCGTTCTTCTCTTACAAATGGGTACCTCTTCATCCATGAACAACAAGAACAACAATGGGCTTAGGCTATCTTTTTGTTTCACCCCCTTGACAATTTAAATGCATAGTGAAATTTGTGATTGAAGTGGTTTCTGCACTCACCGATTCATATATATTAAATACACGACATATTTACGTTAAATATAAGTAAAATTTTACGATTAACATAAGTTTGACACATACGTATTTCTGAAATTAACTACATTTCGATTATTTTTTGTTCTGTTTTTGATATATATATATTTCTCGTTTTTACTACTTGATTTCTCTTTTCCAAAACGTTTTACTGTTTTTTTTATTATTTTTATCCTTCCTCCTATTACCATCTATTGTTTCTTCTTTTTTCGGATATTTTTTTTTCACTTTCCTCTGTTATTATTTTTTTTTTAATTTAGTTGGTTTTTCTCTACTGTCCTTTTTTGAAATCCTCTTTCTCGTTCTCGTTTAATATTTTACGTTGCCGCATCCACATTATTGTAGTAATTGTTTTTAAATCAAGTACAATTTATTTATAACGAACTTTATTAAATATAAAAAACTATTGTTGAAGGTTCAAAGACGGGAGAGCTATACCTGGCCGGAACAACGGAGAATTGCTGGTAGTGAACGGTGTGACCAGAGAGGACCAAGGAATGTACCAGTGCGTAGCGCGAAGAGCTGAAGGCGACACAGCTCAGTCCGCAGCCGAGCTCCAGTTAGGAGGTAATTTCATCAAATATTTATTAACTACAATATATAACTTTTTTGTATGTTTTATAAATTCATCATCATCATATGTGGCACGACATCCCTTTACCGAGACTGGGCCTCCTCCAAAAGCCTCCGCCAGTTGGCTCTGTCTTCTGCCGCAGCTCTCCAGTTCCGTACACCAAGCAGGGTTCTCGCACCATAGGTCACGTTGCACGTTGTCCAACCATCTCGTCCTCGGCCTTCCTACCCGTCTTACGAGGTGCAGCTCCTCCATCATTATTTTATTTGGTATTTAAACGGTTCTCATTCTGGCCACATGACCTGCCCACCTTAGTCTGGCCAGTTTAATATACGTGACTACGTCGATGTCTGTATAAAGTATGTTTTAAAAATTACTGGCAAGAAATCTCCTACTTGAAGGTATGGTAATTTATTTGGTAGCATATATTTTGTTAAGTACTACCATCACGATAAAGACTATACTCCTGATAAAAGACCTTCAGAACACGCAACTGCACAAAGTATCTTACTAAATGGCTTCGAAAAGATACTGCGTAGGTTTTTCACTTTTCTGTTCTAATTTGTTTCTTCTTCCTTTTAATGTTCTAGCTATTTTAAATAATATTCCTCTAATATGCACAATTGTCATTCAATCCTAAAAGTTTTAAATACAATTCAATTAAAATTTACTATAAGCTAAAAATATGAATTAATAGATAAATACGTTTTTATAATTATGTAATTAGAGTGCTACCAATGGGTAGTTTCTCAACAAGCGTGTTTCATGTGATTATATTCCTCTGTACACATTTACTTGATGTATTCATACTAATAGAGTTGTAAATATCATAATAAAAATAAAATAAAAAAATAAATAATTATCTAAAATGGTTACTTTCATGAATTTCCAATATTTATTCGCCGTTGAAGATTAGATTACAACAATAAAACCGCAAAGTCTCGAAATTTTTTAATACATATTAGCAAATTATTTTCTTATCTCGCATGATTTTATAGTATTTACATACGCAGTTGACTCTCGATAATCGATTTTTTCGACAATCTGAGCTCTTCAGCTGTTAACTTCAGTAAATCGAAAAACTGCTGTATTTTTTTTTTTGCTAGAAATCCTTTTCGTAACAAGAGGAGGAGAGAACATTCCATAATTCGAACTAGACAACTCTTTATTATTCGAAAATTTCCTACTAATGTTTTTTACATGAGGCTATTTATATATAAAAGTTATGTCAGCTCATACATATTTTCAAAAATAAAATAAAAGCTTTTAATAATTAGAATTTTTTTTCATTCCTCTGGATAATTCAAACTTCTTGATAACTACAAGTCTCGATAATTCGAAGTGTTCTTTTACTTCCTTGGATTTTGAATTATCGACAGTCGACTGTATCAGTATTATATAATATACACATATGTTCCTCAAGTTTTAGGACATTTTAAGAAAAGAATATTTGCAAAGATAATCACAGTTAAATAAAAGTGGTGGGGACAGATCTGCTTCACGAAAGTGGATACACTGCTGCATCATGTGCAGGCAGTAACTAACTCATAGCATTGGATATCTTTACGTCGCGCTATATTAAACTCAGGCTATAACGCCTGTTCCAACCACATTCCCAAGACACACTATTATTTCACGTTTTTAGCTAAATATGAACCATTTTTTATTAATAAAAAAAGTGTAACCTCTATCTTATCTTATCACTTTAATTCTATTGCACCTCCAATTTAAGCATGTGTTTTCTTTTCATACAAGTACCCAATTGCATTATAAAAACAGAAGTCGGAATAACTATTCTCGGTCTTCCTTAAAGTGGTTTCCCGATATGTGACCATATCCAGTTTGGCAACAATTTAGGCCTTAATTAGGCCACTCATAAATATTCAGATCAGAACTCTTCAGTACATGGCAGTTTATTTGATATATTTTTAGTATCAAACCAGATTCCCTTTCAATAAATTTATTTGTTTTGTGGGAGATCCCTTACAAAATAGAGTTGGCCTTAATATGGTGACAAACCGAAGTTCATGTTACTATTTTTTTATTTTTTTTTTGGATGTGTTGGGTGTATGTATATACATACATTCCATTAGGAATACACACATTTGAACATAATATATAATTAGATCTAATTAGATCTAAATATAAAGCTGATAAAAAGAATTTAATCCAATGAAAAAAAAAATTATTTGGAAAGGTTTATAGGCATTCAGTTCACTTTTTTCTTTGATTATGAATCCTCTTTGATCTACATCTCTTCTTCATTTTATTCGATTTGTTTCGTATTAATTTATTTGTTTATTAATTTGATCAATCGTTATATATTTTATTTAAAATTCACGACTTCCAGTTACCTCCTTTGATATACTGTTTGTATTCATTAGCTAAAAAAAGTCGTAAATTTCGGTATCTAAAATTGTTTTGCTTATTTATTTATATTGTATTGGATTTTCAATAATAAACCTTGTAACTGACCAAGAAAAAATGTTGACCCTATATGAGGTTTTAAATTTCAATATATGTAAAATCCAAAATCGAATAAAAAAAAAACGTCGGTTCTCCATCCGCTTTTTTTTTTCTAAAACGATTTTACCGATTTTTTCCATACATGGCATCAATGTCACAATTCATCCAAGAATGACATAAGAACTCGACATTACCTTCCGTCGTTTCGTTTTTAAATGACAGGCGAAAAACATGTTTTTTTTATAAGGAGCAGCATTAAAATGGCTGAAACTCTTTTCATAAACTTTGCTTAGTGTCTAAAACCCTTGAAGCTCTTTAAATTTAGTTATAGCTATATGACATACTTTCAAGGCCACAAACTGAAATAAAACTAGTGAAAAATGCAGAATTTTAGTTTCAAGTGACTACACTTGAATAAATACACACTTCTCCTGGAAAATTTCATGTTCCAGTTTATCAGAGATCGTGTAATTTTCTAAAAGAGAAAACAAAATTGGAGGAGTACTAATAAAGATAATGGGATATCAAATATTTGTGTGACTGTGTTTCAATGGAAAACCCAACAACAACCCAAAAGTTCTCAGTTTTGTTAGGTAATGACTTGAAAGCCAGGGGTGCCCATCCTCTCACTCTCCCTCCCCAAAGTTGATGGCGCAAGAGCCTATCCCGCCCCCACTCCTAAGATATATATTGCTCACCTTTTCTTAAAAACAGAGCAAGCTAAGGCAAAATCAGAAAACCCGTAGATCATATACAATTATACTTACTTTTTTATTTACCACTCTGCCTTTTCTAATGGGATATACGGGCGTTTGCAGTAGTGTGTTGTTATGCATGACAACACACAACTGCATGTGAAACAGTTCACAAGTTTTTATCTTTTGTGACTTCTGATAAAGGGTGACCGTCTTCCGAGGATCTTCTTGTTGCTGGTCCTCTTCTCCGTGATCCAATGTTGAAGTGGCTTGGATCCACTGCCTCCTTCCAGCCATAAATAAATTTCTTGAACCGAAACACACAATTCCACTTCATGCTGTCTGTTCCACGTTTTCCTTGCTTATTTCATAGTATAAAACTTCTCATACCGAAAATTCATAACTCCTCCGAAATATGCCTCCCATAGAAATTTTGATAGCGTAAGTTGCGCCATCAAACCCCCTTATTGAAACCTACTCTTCTAGAGATCGTCATTTGAAGAATAATTTAATTGACATTATCTTCTTAACAAAAATAAGAAAAAATCCTTATTGGGCCAATATTGATTTGATTATTTGTTTATTGATAAATATTACAATCTGTCTCAATAAAGGACATTTATAATATAGTTGTGAGAGCAGATTCACACCATATTTACGAATACAAAAAAAATAAGCTAATTTCAAATAATATAAAGCTATAAAAGAACAAAATAAAATATCATAGTGAAGGAAGAAAATATAAATAATAGTAATAATAGAATGAAAATAAATGAATAAAATAGAATTAAAATTATCTTAAATAAATAAAAAAAAAAGTAATGAAAATAAACATCTTAGATGCAGGCATACCTATTTATACTATTTACAGTGGGCCAATATTAGTTTTTATAATATAAATTCTCCAAAAGAAGTCAGGAAAATAGTGATATACTGCAAATGATATACTACACATATTTGACATATAACTATTATATTTATATACATTTTTTTTTTTTTTTTTTGGTATTACAGACCTTGTAGGTCTTTTCCAGCGTTCTCCATCTATGGCCATTTTTTGTTTTTACTTTCTAGATATCTGCATATAGCTCTTATTGCATCTTTGTTGATTTGATCTATTCATCTGATTTTTGGCTATATGGCCTTGCCTACTATTGAGGCATTCATTGTAGAGGCTTCCTAATGGATTACTCTAAGCTCATTCACCTGTCCATCTTAACATCCTTGCCTTCACATCATCAGATATTTATTGAACAATTTCTCTAAAGTTCTTCATCAAGTTGATCCCAGATAGCTCCGCGCTCCGGTTATAATGCGGAGTATTTTTTCTTAAATCTTTCAATATTTTTTCTAGGGTAATAATTAGAGTCCACATCTTGCAGCCGTATATCAGAACTGATTTTATGACAGCATTGTACAACTTTAATTTGAGATTTTTTCGATTCCAGTATCTTTGAAAGAGAGCAGAATGATCCGTTTGCATTTGTTATACGATGGTCTCTTTGCGACCGTTGGTCATTTGTTGAGGTTATTGTGGAGCTTTCCCTTCTATGAAAATCCTTTTATAACTATGTAGAGATATTAGACCATTGTATTATAATTTTCAGCGTTTTAAAAGTTAAAAATGAAACCACGCTTAAAGTTAAAAGCGATTGAACCCTTTAAATCAGTCTGTAACACAATCCAAAGTTCTTATTTAGTTAGAAGGTTAGGTGGCCCTGAGGTGACAATTTGATGAGGAAGGGTCTTCATTAGGACGTCCTCCGATAAGTTCATTATCAGGCCATTCTCAAAGAGGGCGATAATCGCATTTACCCTCACTACTCCTGAGTGGTCCCTCTTCTAATTGGTCATTGTAAATACATTTAATTATAATAATTATTTGCCATTTTTATTATTTTTTATCATCCTGCGCAGGTTCATAATCTCTAAAAACAATTATATAATACTTTATTTTGTTAGCTAAACCATTCAAATAAGTCAAAATTTACATACATAATTTGATAATGGTCATCTAAGGACAGTGAATATATCATTGATAGGTTTTCTTATAAGACTATATTTCTTCATTTTTTCCCCCTTTCGCTCATCGCTCCAATTTTCCCTTCTTTTCTCTTCTTTTCCATTATAAGGACTTAAATATATTTTCTGAATTTTCCTCTGGCCTG